TAAAAACAGACTAGGTTTGAGCGGTTAGATGCTGGCTGTGTCAGGTAGGAAGGAGCATTTGAAGTGAAGGCTTCTTGCAGTCTTGCTTGAGTGTTCCAGGTTCCATTAAGCGAAGTGCCCCTAACTAGGAAAACTTCTTACTGCCCAATCCTAGAAATTACTCAGGGAAAAAAAAAAAAACCTCAGAATGTTGATTTTGAGATTTTGCCTGGGACCAAGTACAACATCTTTCCAAGGAAATGCTTAGAAGACTCAAGGCAGAACCCAAAATCCAATGCCAGACGTTAGGGGGAAAATTTTTTTAAACTTGGGTAGCCAGAAAGCTCCGGGCTATTTATACTTTAGCATTCATGTGACTTTGGTTTCTTTCCTTTTAGCCACTAGAAGGTCATTTTGTTTTGCCAAACAGCTATGCAACTGAGGATTTGAGACGGACACTTAGGAGGGACCCCACTTTCTAGTGGGGAAATCTGGAAATGTTCCCAATGAGACTCCATGTTGTCATCTTCCCTGTGTTAATTCAGTGGAGAAGACAGTCTGATAGTGGGGGAGGGGTGGACAGAGAGGCCCCAACTTTCCAAGAAGGAGAGAGGATAATGGAGAGAGCACCGGCTTAAGCATGGGGGTTTTCCAGGGATCTTGGTTGATTATAGCATTTGATTTTAGGTTTCCATGTACTTTCCAAGTGATGCCCATAAAAGACTAACAATGGAGCCTTGAAGTACTGACGAGGCTTCAAGTTTACCTGGGGTTCTGCCATGGTCAAAGAGGGAGCAGATTTGATGAGTTGTTTAAGCGGAAGCCAGAAACTTTCCGTGTCTCCCCACGTCCACCTCAGTATATTTCAATTATTCACAGGGTGAGGTTTTAGGGCAGGAACATCCAGAGAAGGTAGGGGCAGAAACTCAACTTGTTTGGCAGACAAAATCGCTGTAGCTGAGGCTCACCCCAAGACTCAGGGTGACAGGAAGCAGACACCTTCACACTGCACTGCACTTTTGAGGCGGCTCCCAGCGGAGAGGGGTCTTCAGGAAGGAGGGGGTACGACCAGCATGGCTGTCTTAGGTAGAGGAAGGGGACCCCACTCATTTGCATCCCAGCTCAGAAGGAAACAAGCTCCTGAGGAATTTTACCTGTTTGCTCTCTTCCCATTCTCTCTCTCTTTTTCTTTTTTTCTTTTTCTTTTCATTTGCAGATTGTTTTGAAAAGTAGGATCGTTTTGCATAGGGAGGACATTTCTGAGCCAGAATTTATAAAAATACACGCAACTTTTTAAAGGAAAGAAAGGAGAAAGCCCACTATTTAGGGTTAGGGAGTAGAAAAAACTTAACAAAGCAAGGCTATTCAGAACTGGCTGGCAGATGGCGCTCCGATTTTACAATAGAGAGAGCCTGGCCACAGAAAATTCGCGCCTGCGCCTGCTGCAGCCAGCCCTGTGGACCCCCTCCCTTCAGCTGCCTTTCCAGGGACTCAGACCCTCCTCTGGCCTAATATATGTATTTTTGAGGTTTCAGTTCAGCAATTAATATCTGGTGACAAGTAACCCCACTTGGGGGGCTTTGTAGACCTTAGCAGGTCAAAAAGATAAAATACAATAGGGGGCAAGGTGGCAGCTTCCAGTTCCCAGGCTCTGAGCTCTTAAATAGCACAGCAGCCCCTCCTTCTGCCAGGGGAAGTTCTGAGACCCTGGGTGCATCCTTTTGTCTCTTTGGGAGAAGGAGAGGGGTGTGTTTCTCATTTTAGAATATTTTAATTCTCTTAGAAGTTTTAGGTAGAAGATATGACCCTCTCCTTCCCCCATTCATCTCTCTCTCTCTCTCTCTCTCTCTCTCTCTCTCACACACACACACACACACACAAACACACACCTTTCAATGTACCCTCACCAAAATGGCAGCTAGTGTAGGAAAAACATCTTAGTGCCTAATCGTTTCCAGGTCCCCATACCTGGAAGCCACTTAGCAGCACAGTTCAGAAGTTTATCCTCTTTCACCCAGCTGAGGACTGTGAGAGAGACACAGACATAAGGCTTCTAGGAGAAATCCAAAGAGCCTCCCTGGAGGAGAGGACATTTTGGACACTGTAGAACAATGCAGGACTAGGTCCCTTGGTTCCAAGGACGGTGTCTTTGTACTTACCCAGGTCCTACTACCCTGTCTTCTCCATAGCCACTGAGGAAGGCCACATGGACTTCCCAGGCAGGGCCACAAAGTTGGCTGGGAACTTACCCCTCTTCCACTAAGGCCAGCCTCAGAATTCCTTTCTGATATGCCTCCTCCTCCTCTTCTAAAATGTAACAGTCAGAGGAACAAATTTAAATATATATATATTAGTTCAGGCAAACATTTCCCCTACTCTGCTATTCAAATTTTTCTTTTCAAACTTCGCTATAGCACCGTCCCTCTCGCCCACGTTTTGTTTTGTTTGTCTTTCAGTTTTTGTTTTGTTTTGGTTTTTTTTTTTTCTGGAGATTTTAAAAGGCTTTTCTTGGTCCTTTACCCCCTATTTCAGGGTTTCTGATATGTGACCTCAAAGGTTGGCAGTGAGCTTCACACTCCCCCCAGGTGTTACAAGAGAAGTGGGTACAGGTGAGCAGCCTAACCCAGCAACAGTGAACCTACCCACCAGAGGTCAGCAAAGAGCTCAGAATAGCTGTGTCTGCTTGCAAATGTGGGAACTGATAGAACTCTCTAGATTGAATGTAGAAAACCCAAACAGAAAAAAAAAAAAAAAACCCCACATTTCAAGGGTATCCTTGGGGTGGGTTGTCATCTTGTCTTGGGCCCCTGGGTGCTTAATTTGAATGCTATTGAAGACATTCTGTGCTTTGGAGGGGGGACATAAGTTTTGCATTTGATGTGTTTCTTCCTCAGCCCCACTCCAAACACAGGAATCCTCCTCTTATCAGGGACCACACCCTCTTAGTGCCCCTAATATCTCTTGGAGACAAAATGTCCACTTCCCACGGGACTGAAAAGCCACACCACACACTTAGTCTGGCCCCTTTTCTTTAGGAGTTATATTTATTGTTGAAATGACTTTATAAGATTACACACACAGCCCCCAGCCCTTCCCCTTATCCTGCTCTGATTTTCTTATCTCTGGCTCCTCACCGAGATGTGTAGCTAGTTAAGTATTTATTAACCATGATTTTCAGTTTGTTGGGGTTTTTTTTGTTTTGTTTTTTTTTTTTTTTGTTTTGTTTTAATTTGGCTTCTCCTATCCCAAGCACACACACAGAATCCAGTTCCCACATTCTGTCATCTCTCCATTGACCCTTGACATAATTTAGCCTTTTCACTTGGGTAGAGAAGGGGGAAAGGAATCTGGATTCCACTCCCCTCCTCAATTCTCTTTCTCTCTTTTCTGAGCTGTTGAAATCCCAGGGTCTTTGAGAACCAGTTGTAAGCTAAGATCAACCCCCTTAACTGGTTTATTTTATTGTTGGAGGAGTGGGAGGGAAAGGAGAGAGGGGTACAGAGGGAGAGAGGAGAAAGGTGCAGAGATGAAATAAGAAAAGCAATGTTGAAGCAAGGGAGAGAAAAAAGAAAATAGGAGTATTGCCTTTGCCAAGTTTAGCACTAAACTCCAGACAAAGTCCCTGCCCTGTGGAAACTTCTAGTCTTGGAGGAGATCAGGTTTCAGGTAATGGTAGCTTCCCAAGCAGGGATGGACAGCTGATAGGGAGCTGGAGTTGAACCCACCAGAGAGCTGGCGGACTGAATGGAGGAGGAGAGAGTGGATGGTTCAGCTCAGTGCCCAGACTTCGGAACCCACTTAGGAAAGCAGCAACCAGAAGGTTGGTGGTTGGTCCTGCCTGGATGGACCAGCAGGGCCCTCTGAGGTCTGACCACCGACTTCTCTTTCCCAGCAGATCCCATTTGCTTTCTTCAAAGTTCCTTACCTGAATCCATATGATTTTAATTTTGAAGTTAGAATTACCCCTCCCTCCACAACCCGATTTCCCAAGTGTTTGCACATGCATCACCTGCTTGGTGGTTTTGTTCTGTTTTGTTTAAAGCAGTCTGGCACACCATGGACCTTTTTGTCAGAAGCAGAAAAACAAAACAAAAAACAACCCACCCTATCTTTGTGAGTCTTTTGATTCAATAATTATCCAGAACAAAGCCAGGACAATCCTAAGGTTAAAAGTGAGCAGTTTGTACATTAAGTGTACATTTCAGAAATCAAGGAAATCCTGAGAGTTTTGCAGGTTAATGTCCTCAAGAATTTGGCTCCAGCCAGGTCCCACATAGGCATTGTTTTCTATCTTTTTTTCCCCCTTCCTTCCTCCCTTCCTTCCTTTCTTCCACTTCACGACCCCGCTTTGAAAAACAACGTTTATTCTCCTGGGGTACCTTTAGTTGCGAGGAAGATAATTCTATCCAGTAAGGAAGAGTAAGGGGGAAGAGAAGGGGTATGTCAAGCCAGAGGAGACATGGGACAAGATTGATGGCTCAGCTCTGGGGTCAGGGCACGAAAGTCAAGAGTACACAGTGTCAGCTTCCTGGCTATAGTGAGAAAAATATTCTATCAGCTGCCTCTCTGTGTCCTGTGCTTTATTCACTAGGTTAAATTAAAAAACAACAACAAAAACAAAACAAAACAAAAACCCACAAAAAAACCTACTCAAATTTTGTCCCAGTTGCTTGCTATAGCCCTGTTCTTCCACATTTGGGTCTTTTGATTGAAGCACAACCACAGAGAGGAAGGGGCTCCCAGACTAACCCTGCTGATTCCCCTACCAGGAAAAAAAAAATTGACACCTCCCCTCCCACCCCGAAGAAGTGCCAAGAGTTAGAAATGTGTTGCTAATTGATTTGAGCTGAATTTGTATTGCTTTGAGACCTAGCAAAATGGCGTGGAGTTAGGGATAGCACACAATTGCTATTCTAATAGCCAAGAGAAGGAACTCACCACAAGCATGCTCATACAATGAGCCTTCTGTGATATTTTGGAATCACTGGAGTTGGGGGGTGTCATACTGGTTCTTTAGGAAGGAAAAAGGAAGATTGTTGGAAAGTGTTGAATGGAAATTTAGCATAAAAAATGACACGCCCGATTTAGGAAGAGAAGTCCCTTTAGCATGGTTCCAAATGAAAACAGTTGTCACAAGTTAGTTTTTCACATTTTTGACCATTGGCAGAACTTAGGTTTACTCATATGTAGATTATGTTCACCTTGGCAAAGAACATGGGAAACTATCTGGATTGCTATACTCATGAGCCCATTTTCCCTCACTGATAAGTTGTCCCCTAGGCTGTGATCAACTTGTGTGTCAAATGTTCTGTTTCCTTTCTGCTCACCTAGTAGCCTCACTATGCACGCAGTAGCTGCCCACCTGTCTACCATGCCTCTCAAGAGGATGAGTCCTTCCCGGGTCGGTGAGTCTGCCTTGATTTGGGCATTTTTATTCATTCATTCATTCATTCATTCATTCATTCAGTCTACTCAATAGAGATACTGAAAGCTTGATATGTGCCCTTCCCTGTGGGGAAGCCAAAGGTCTAAGACATGGTTGCTCTCCTGATGGTCCTGGGACTGAAAACAGACACAGGGAGTGGACAGTGGTAGGCAGATTCTATGTAGGCACTCTATGAGAGGAGATACAGCAGCTCACAAATGAAAACCTCATCCAAAGATGGGTTTCAGTGGCTGTTCAAGAGAGCTCGAACCCAAACCAGCAGACTTAAGTCAGAACGGACACTGCATGACGCTGTTCTGATAATTAACCAATCCAGAAGAATTTGTCTTCTTGGGTCAAAAATAAACATCTACATCTAGCACAACCAACCATTTGTATTTCATGCCAACCTGAGGCTGAGGATTTCTTTGTGAATAGCTGTGATTGAAGCTTCTGTAGGGTGGATCTTAGTGTTGATAACTGACTGTCACAGAACCAGAAGAACCTTTTGGTCAGAGGTAAAGGCCAGAAAGTCACAGCCATACTGAAGTGTTAGGCTTAGGTCTAGAAGGTGCCAGGTCAGATGTGCTACCACCTTTAGCCAGCTTTCACTTTAAATTTCTGCTTGGTATGGACCAAAGTATACCTTCCAGGGCTGAAATTCTCTCAGGGAGTAGGTTCAAAATTCTTCCACTCAACCTTCAAATAGTCCACATGTGTTAGGACTGCTGTTTAGCTAGTAGGATGGGGAAATTGTTATGGTTTTAGTTAGAGATATGGTTGTACTCTAGAGATCCCCACTGGTCACAACCTTGTGCCCTCCATTTTAGTTCTACTCCGCCATCTTCTGTCCTAGCCTGCCCTCCATCTTAATTCTGATCCACCATTTTAGATCCTAGCCTGCCCTCCATCTCAGCTCTG